CTCCATACTTTGAATGCTGTCACTATGGCTAGCAATTCTTTGTCGTGAATGTCGTAGTTCATTTCTGCCTGAATAAGTTTTCGTGAATGGAACGCAATTGGTTTGGCTCTGCCGTTCTCATCCGGTTGTGTCATTCTCATACCGATAGCATAGTCGGATGCGTCGGTTTCGATCGTAGTCAGCTTTTCTGGATCGTGCTGTACTAGGATTGGTGCGGTCGTGATTCTCTGTTTCACGTCCTCGAAGGCTTGCTGTGCCTGTGTTGTCCATTCGAACTTCTGATTCTGTTTCAACAGGTTGAATATCGGTACCATGGATTTGGCGTATCCATCGATAAATCTCCGATAATAGTTGATCAATCCGGTAAACTGTTGGACTTCTTTCAAGCTTTTGGGTACAGGCCAATCCCTGATTGCCTGGACCTTGCTTCTCTCCATGTGTACTCCTTCGGTGGTGATCCAGTGTCCTAAGAACTCTGTCTCTTGGACATGGAACTCACACTTCTTGAGTTTCAGTCGTAATTTAGCAATGCGTAGCTTCCGTAGCACTTGCTTCACGTGTCGGATGTGCTCTTCTTCGTTATTCGAGAATACCAGAATATCGTCTAGGTACGCGATGACAAAGGTGTCGAGCAATTCTCCCAAAACTTCGTTGATGAATCGCTGAAATGATGCTGGCGCGTTGGTTAGCCCGAATGGCATGACCAAGTATTCGAAATGTCCGTATTTCGTCCTGAAAGCCGTCTTCCATTCTTCTCCTTTTGCGATTCTCAATCTGTTGTATGCGTCGGTAATGTCGAACTTTGTGAACCATTTTGCTCCTCTGATTTTGTCCTGTATCTCTGCAATGAGCGGTAACGGATGTCGATCCTTAATGGTTTGTTCGTTCAATGGTCGGTAATCGACGCACAATCGCAAGCTCCCATCCTTTTTTGGTGCGAACAGGACTCCGTGCCCTGCAGGTGATGTTGATGGTCGGATGTAGCCTTTTGCAAGTTGTTCCTCAATATACTGTCGTAAGATCTGTGACTCCTTTTCTGACATAGGGTAGATCTTTCTGCATGCGACTTTGTCTTCATTCTTGAGAGGGATCTGGTGGTCATGTTTTCCGTGTTCTGGTAATTCAGGTTTTTCGGGTTGTTCGAATAGTTCCTGAAATCTTTCGTATTCGTTCGGTAACTGCTGTATTTCTTTGTTGGCTGCTAATTCTGTAGCATCGACCATTTGCCATGATTCGATCTGTTCATGCAGTTCCGTGTTGTATTCCGTGGTAGCCATCGTATTGGCGTACTCTTGTCGTGTGTCTGGTGCCCAACCAGAAAGTCGCGCTAACCATTCCTTTCCCGTGGGTTTGGTTGCTGCCATAACTGCGACCGCAGTGTCCACCTGCTCGGCGTCTTCAGTTAGCGTGTTGGTAGGTCCACCCCTTGACCTCTTAGCGTCAGCTCGGCTCGTTTGGCCCTGAGCACGCCGTTTGGCCTCAGATGCCTTCTTCATCTGGCCTTGTCGTGGGCATTCACATTTCGTGAATTGAAGACTCTCTGTCTTCCAATCAATCTCTGGGTTGTGATCCCGAAGCCATGGGATCCCTAACACCACGTCATACCGTCCCAAAGGTGTCACGTCGAAACTTATATACTCGAAATGACCCTTTACAACCATGGGTACTGGTCCTGATTCGACTGTAAGGTGTCCTCCCAATGGTTCACCGTTCAGTCCTGTGATAGGCTCTGGCGTAGCCTTTGTTATTCCTAAGATCTTCAGCTGTTCCTGAAATCTTGGATCCATGAAGTTGCCCGTTGCCCCGGAGTCCACCATGACTCGAGCGTTCTGATTCAGAACTGTAGCTATTAACTTCAGGTGCAATCCTTTTTGAGCTGTTGCCGATAAACTGTTTGCCCAACGGGGTCCTGTTAACCCTCGTGGCTGTCGTGGGAAATGTTGTCCAAGCTTCGCGTCGTAGTGAACTTGACAATAGTCTTCCCAACATCCTGTCCAATGTCTTCTTCCGTGGTCTGGGTGTGCAGAGTATCCAATGCAAGCGCACCCTGGCTTCCTGCATGGGCATCCTGTCCCTTCCTTGACCATATGGCATTGCGAGATGTTCTTCAGTGTTTCGTGTACTGGGTCCTTGCATTCGTCATCCTGACATGCAACCCATAGTAAGCAATGATGCGTTGCGTGTGTTGTCTGATACAGGCATTCGCAATTCTCTTGTCGACATGCGTGTAAGGATCTGATGTGACCAGTTCGTTTGCTCATCTTCTGTAGAGCCTGATGGTAATCGTGATTCCATCGGTCACATATCCTGCATTTTGTGGCGTGTTCTGTTGCGCATTTCACTCTGTGTGTTGCCCAGTCCTCTCTCTGTGGGTTCCAACAGTCCAACCTCCAGTGCGGACATTGCGAGATAATGCGTCGCAGTTCCCCTGTAAGCTTGGTTGGATCCTGCTTTAGGTCCTGGATCAACTTCTCTTTCCATTGCTCGTTACTGATTTCTTTCAGTAGAGTGAAGACATGCTGATCGGCTTCGCTGTCTTCCCCTTTCCAATCAGAGGCTCTGTGTTCCGCTTGATTATGATCAGAGGTATTCTTGATCACTTGATCATCTTCCGAGTCAGTGCTGCCAGCGTCCTCCTGACCGGGTGTCTGTTTGTGAAGGTTTTCGTCGGGTGTCTCCGGTATCTCTGAGAGTTCCTCCGTGTTGGGATCACGGTCTTCCCATTGAGTCCCGTAATTTTCGTTCAGTGGGTCGAAGCTTCCTGGCATTCGAATCCAGTTGTCGCCCAGTGAATCTGGCTTCTTGCTGATGGCTTTAGGAGACCCATCCGTCTCGTCGTTCATAGGCCAGTGTTCTGAGTCTTCGCTATCGGATATCTCTGGGTCTTGGAACTGT